CGATCTGGCCGCTGGGGTCCTACCTATCCTACGCTATCATGCGTAGGAGCGAATAACATACAGGGTGCTCCATCTTATGCGATAAAATATAATTACAAGATTCTAAATAATGAACTTAAGAATATAGATTGGAAACCTATAAATGATTTGGATTGCGCTAATAATATTTATCAATATATAAAATGTAATATACAAAGCTGTTATGATGTCGCTAAATATGCAATAAAAATTAAAAATTCGAAAAGGAGTAAAGAAAGTTGGGTAAATAAACGAGTTATTGAAATGTGCAGGGCAAAAGATATTAAATTAATTGAATTAAAAAAGGATAGTACAAACAGGGTATTAAAACTAGAATATAATAAACTAAGAAACAAAGTAAATAAATTGGTAGAACGTTCTAGAAATAATTATTATAAAAAAATTATTAATCTCAACAAGGATGATCCAAGAAAGCTTTGGCAAATCCTTAATAAAATTACGGGTAGAATTAAAGAGTCACTAGATGAAGTCATCATAAAAGCATTTAGTAAGTTTAAAGAAAAAGAAATCGCTGATGCTTTTGCGTTAGGCTTTGACAAAGCAGTGAAAGACGTGCTGCCAACCTGTTCAATTAATATTTTGACACCCAATGATTACTCAAAAGTTGAAGATGTATCAATGTACATTAAACAACCTAATCCCAGAGTCCTTCATAAAATTATTCAGGGTATCAAACCCAATAAAGCGCCAGGTGCAAATAGGATTCGTCCAATTGACATAAAAGCACTTTCGGAGAAAATAGTATATCCATTATCAAAATTAATCTATGTAAGTATACGTTCGGGTAATTATCCAAGAGAGTTGAAAGAAGGAGTAGTTAGACCAATATTTAAAAAAGGTGACAAACGTAACTATAGTAATTACAGACCGGTGACCATCTTGCCAGTTTTAGACAAAGTGATAGAGAAATACATATGCAACGAAATTAACAAATTTTATAAAGAAAACAATATACTCTCTGATAATCAATTCGGTTTTCAAAAAGGGAAAAGTACGACCCAATTACTTTCTATGTTTACTGATTACGTCAATGGCTGTTTAGATAATAAAAATCATGTGTTAATCATTTTTATAGATTATAGTCGTGCATTTGATACACTTCGACATGAGACATTAATAAAAAAGCTAGAGCATAGCGGGGTAAGGGGTCCATTGCTAAACTGGTGTCGAAGTTACCTAGAAGAAAGATCGTATCGTGTAAGGATAGGTAAAGAGTATAGCGAGAAAATTAAAGTAACCGAAGGAACAGCACAGGGATCGGTGCTGGGACCTTTACATTACTTGGCGTACGTCAATGATGCCAATAATGTGATTAGTGAATGTAAGATTTTTCAATATGCAGACGATACGTGCATAGTAGCAGCTGATCGTGACCCTCTATTGGCACTCAAATATCTGCAAAATGACTTTGATGCAATTTGTAAGTGGTCACATGATGTGGGCTTAGTGCTCAATCCGCAAAAAACCAAATTAATGCATGTGCACTCCAGTCACGTTAAAACAAATAAAAAGGTACAGATAGTCGCACATAAGCACCGATGTCTGCACGGTGGTAATGATCCTGAAGTAGTATGTAAATGTGATTGCATAGAAAATGTTAACCAACATACCTACCTTGGTTTAACAATTGACCATAGATTTAACTGGGGTTCACATGTAGAATTTGTTTGTTCAAAATTACGAGCAATTATGGCTAAGTTTTATCTAATACAACGTCGTGTACCTTGCAGTATTCTCATACAAATATATAAAGCGTTAGTGGAGAGTGTTGTTGCTTATGGCTTAACAAGCTATGGTCGTACTTTTAAAACATATTTAGAACAAATTTATAAACTACAAATAAGGATTTTAAAATTAATTGTACCATTTAAAATTAAAGAACAATATCGAAGTAATGAAGAGGGTCTATTTAACTATTGCGGTGTATTGAATGTGCAAAATAAAACTAAATTTTTACTCCTAACAGATAACTTCTTTAAATTTATTAATCAGAAAGTTGATCACTCCAAGATTACTAGACAAATCACTTCACAGATGATATCAATAACATCAGCAAATAACTTTTATGGAGAAAGGACTACCAAATTTATTGTACCTAGATTAATCAACACTTTACCTTTTGAATTAAAAAAAAGCATAACACAGGTAAATCTAAAACATTTAATTAAAAATCATTTGAAAAAAAATTTAGTTATTTAGATACTTAATTTGTATGATAAGTTGGAGCACGCTGTATGAGTACGGGCTTGGTCAATATCAAGCGAGTCCAGAAACGGGTTTTTGTGTTGCGAATGGCGATATTAGTTGTTTTGTTTTCTTTTGCTACCGACAAAAAAAAAATGATAGGAGACGATAACATACATATCATTGTTATGTAAATTTTATACTCGTGCTTAAAATAAGTCACTTTGTATTATTTATAAGAGGATTGTGCAGCACCCAGACAAACCAATATAGGTTTAGGGGTGTAAAGAAATCATTATATGTAATATTTTTAAAGTTTATAGAAATAAATAAAAATAAAAAAAGAAGGGTCGAGAACAGTGCCTCTACCACGAGTTTCCTGTGATAGTTGTCGCTAGCGACCAAGTAAATTACTTCACGATTTTGTATGGTATCTCCTCATGAACCGAGTAATGTTATTCGGCCGAGTACGAGTAGTAAAAAAACGGCCGAGTACACCGAATACCGAGTAGCAAACGAGTACTCGGCACATCTCTAATATCAAGTGACGGGATAAAAAGTCCTTCACCTGATGGTAAGCGACACGCCTATTCATAACAGTTGCAGTGCCGCTCAAAGCTTTGTACAAAAATTCAATTGAATTCGTTCGTTGAAAAATCAAATACAAAGATACGACGCAAGCACATAGAAAAAATCCTGAGGTCCGGCGGTTCGTTTGGTATAGGGTCTGGCACGGTATGCTAGAAGACGTCGGTTCGAATCCGGCCTGATCGAAGGATTTTTTTCTGAGTGTTCCATCTTTGTATTAACAATTTGAACAAGCTAGTGAAGTAATTTGACATAAAAAAAATTTAATATCAATTCAATAAAAATGAAATTATTTACAATAAAAAAATTAAAATTATTTACAATACTATGTTATTTCCTACGTCGAAATAAATAATATACAGCGTGCTTATTACCTGTTAACAAAATTGGAGACATGCACGATGGTGGACGAGGCGACGCCGCGCGCAGGCTGCGTGTACGCAACCGGACGAAATTGGATATAACCACCGTCACCGTTGTAGTACGACTCCGGGGTTTTTAATTCCATTACCTGTAAGCAATACTTTATGTTAGCCAATTGTCATTCTATTTTTTTATTTTGTAAAAATTGTTCACATTTTAACAAATCTATTTTTATACGTGATTAACTTAAGACGCATCGAGTTTGTTAAGGCCAAAAACTGGACGACATTAAACGTAAAAGCGGTCTGTGCCTCTACCATGAGATGACAGTGACAGTTATCGCTAGCGATCGCGTAAAATTTTTGTTTACAAAATGTTGAATGTACAAAATCGTGAAGTAATTTATTTGGTCGCTAGCGACAACTATCACAGGAAACTCGTGTGGTAGAGGCACTGTTCTCGACCCCAGCGGCCAGATCGCTTATTTTGTGGCGCTGATGAGATAAGCGCGATGTCGTTACTGTGACGTGACCTTTATATAGTACCTAATTCTTTTATTCACTATGAGTTATTATGGGAAAAAGAAAATGTGAACCTGTGCTATAAACAAAGAAAACGAAAAGGCGAGTTTCACGGATATTACGAAAATCAAAGACAACATCCCAATATATAAAGATTACGCTATGATGACTGTGGAAACGTTTGACTATATTCTTACCAAATAGCCAGCATTGGAATCACACTTTTATTATGAACGAATAGTATATCATTCTTCTCCATGTATAACGCGCACATTCTCATAGACCCGCGCTAGAGAAACCCTGTGTCGCGGGTGCCAAGGACACACACATAGACGAGCACAAAATACCCCCTAACTCACGAGAGAAATAAATGTAGGCGATACAAATATGTCTCCCGGCCCGGGAATCGAACCCGGGATCTCTGAGCGGCAGTCCAGCATTATATTAGTTATTATTTACGTATTTCTATTTACTCTCAATTTGTTTGTATTTATTGTTTATTTTCATCTCTATAGATTTTAAGACTTTCGTGGTTATTCACTAAATGATTATCACTAGTATCAGGTTTCTTACCACGGTATGACTTCTTTTTATTTTCCCGATATTTCGGAACGGTTGCACGCTCCATGGTCACGGGTTGACTGGACGGCGGCAGATGACAGCTTTAAGAGCAGACATATCTGTCTACCCTCTTGCGCTGTCGACGACTACCTTCATCGTGATTTGTTGTGGCGTTACCATTGTCACTCAATTTTTTCACACAACCACACTCACTGTATCCATACGCGAAACTGAACTCGAGGTGTTTTTGTTTTTATTACTGCATGCACTAAGGACCGGACTCCATGCACTGAACAGTTTAAAAACCATCATCACGGTTAAATGTTCTGTACTTCGTAATCTCGATGGCTTCTCGTACCAATCGTGGTATGTAGTGACGTTCTGTCGAAAGTACCTGGGGGCTATGCAAGTCGATCCAGTGGTTAGTGTGAGTCTGTGTGAGATGTTGTGCTGTAGCCGACTTCTGTGCATTATTGTTTTTTACTGCTCGGAAGTATTCCTTCATACGATCGACAATTGTTCGTTTAGTCTGACCGATATACGAGCTCCCACAACTGCAGTTCACTTTATAGACACCCGGTGTTTGTAAAGGAAGGTGGTTTTTTGGTGAACGTAACATTTTTCCTATTTTGGTTAAGGGGGTGAAAACAGTTTTTATGGAAAACTTCCTTAGCAACCTGGCTATTTTATCTGTCACCCCTTGTATATAGGGCAGAAAAACTGGTAGTCTCTGTACGTCCATTTGCTTCTTCCTTTTTTGTATTGGTTTACCCGTTTTTATTTCGTATCCAGTTACGTTCACCAAAAAACCACCTTTCTTTACAAACACCGGGTGTCTATAAAGTGAACTGCAGTTGTGAGAGCTCGTATATCGGTCAGACTAAACGAACAATTGTCGATCGTATGAAGGAACACATCCGAGCAGTAAAAAACAATGATGCTCAGAAGTCTGCAATAGCACAACATCTCACACAGACTGACACTAACCACTGAATCGAGTTGCATAGCCCCCAGGTACTCTCGACAGAACGTCACTATATACCACGGTTGGTACAAGAAGCCATCAAGATTACGAAGTACAAAACATTTAACCGTGATGATGGTTTTTAAACTGTCCAATGCATGGAATCCGGTCCTTAGTGCGTGCAGTAATAAAAACAAAAACACCTCGAGTTCAGTTTCGCGTGTGGATACAGTGAGTGTGGTTGGTGTGAAAAAAGTGAGTGACAATGGTAACGCCACAACAAATCACGATGAAGGTAGTCGTCGACAGCGCAAGAGGGTAGACAGATATGTGGCCACTTAAAGCTGTCATCTGCCGCCGTCCAGTCAACCCGTGACCATGGAGCGTGCAACCCTTCCGATATATCGGGAAAATAAAAAGAAGTCATACCGTGGTAAGAAACCTGAAATTAGTGACAATCTTTTCATCTCGTTTGTCGCGCTCAATTTTTACCCAAAATTACTGTGCAGAACTGTCAAAATGTTTTAAAATTATCTGTGACCTTGCAGCCATGTTTGGCACTGTCTTAATCTATTGCAGTTATTGATCACGGCACTCGCGATGACATAAAAGTGTGACGTCCGGGTGCTCGTCATGTTAGCTATTGTGATAAAAGTTTATCACTCGAATTTGAGCTTTATGGAGGCGGCATACTACGGGGGCAGTTTTCTAGTGTATTTGAAAGATATCTGTCCTACCCACCTCAAAAACTCCCGGTGTATGTTCATCGTCTAAACTCTTCCTCATGTAATACCGCATGCTGTCAGTGTTCGGATCGCGTGAGGCCATTCTTAGTCGTACGGCAAATCGCGGCGCCTTAAACTCCTCACTCGATGTTAAATTGACGAAGTTCAGATCGACCAACGTTGAGTTTGCGGTGTGGATAAGGTGAGGAAGTTCAACAGCAAAGTCTTTGAATGGCAGTAGGTCCAACTGTTGGGGAAAAAGCAATTGTTATAGAATCTCCAACCTGCATTACCTAACCAACAGGCATAACATGATCATCATCAGGTTGCTTCTCATATAAGAGGTCTTTGAGGACCTCGGAGCCCTAACGGTTTACACTGTCGACCCTGGATGCAAAGGTGAAGAAATAGATAAGGATCGATTCCACTAAAACCCATTTGGGAAATGAACTTTTTTACATTCGTTCTGGGAAGTGCACTAGAGTGAATTTCGTTACTTGGGGATATTCGTAGCACAGGGAGTTCGAGACCAGGCAATTATTAGTGTGGTTGTCTGTCAAGTATTATTATATTATATTACTACATATACTTTTCGAATTCCTATATTGACATGAGCCCATAATATATAGTATACTACAAATATTTAGGTAATTAAATAAATGTAAACAAACCCTAATGAAATTTATGAGGCATTACCTGTAGGGCTAATATGACTGTACAGTCAACTCTAAAGACAACAAAAAAGAATATATACTTATATAAATAGTAGGGGAAGCCTGTCACCGTGCGACCTAAGGCAACAGACGGAAAGGGGGGAGGATAAGGGTGCTTTAGGAAATGGTTTTCTCACTGCCAGTCTCACAGACTCACAAGACTGATCAGATAAGCTAACGGCTAAAGGTGTCTTGGCCGCAGTGAGAGGATGCTGTAGTCAGGAGTGCTCCGTTGTCAATAAGACAGCGTTGATGTCTGAATTCAAAGAGAGTTTTATTTACAAAACTTAAGCTATTTATACAAAACGGTATTTAAGTGTGTGTGTCTATAAACAATATTATTTTTAAATGTATACATAAAGTTAACTACTCTACTCAGCAGCCTAGTTCAGAACGGTCATTGCACTGCTGAGTAGTCTATTGTCATCACTTAGCAAATGTCCGGTCAGGTTGTCTGTTTACGTCGCGTGCACGTGAACAATGACAGTGCGCGACTATAGCGCGAGAGCGACTTAAAGCGCGAGATACTGCTTTTCTGGCATAGAGATCTCGCGCTTTATGTCGCTCTCGCGCAAGTCCATGTCGTGCTAGCCCTACAGGTTACTAATTGTAAAATTATAATAAACTTTTTGTAAACGGGCTGATCTGGGGCCAGGACCTGACTGATAAGGCCTCCGTTCAGGCTTGCTTGCACAGGTAATAATGCCCTTCCCGTATAACCAAGAGGTTGACAGGGGCACTATAAACAAAACACAAGTAGAAAAGTATGGGATTGTCTACACCTCCCCTTGGAAAGGATGCAAAGCTTCCCGGCTGCTGGTTCATTAAATTATTGTTACAAAAAATAAACTTCAATCACGTTCTTCGGCAACCTTAACCACTTTGATCTCAACATGACCTGAACCAGTTAAGATTATTCAGCTTAACAAAGTATTTTTATTTATTACAATTTCCTTTTATTTCTATCGCTTCGTAATCCGGTCAAGTGCAACGCTCGGTCGGATGACGACAAAAGGACACGAGTCAAGTAATATCTCCTGACATAATTTCGCAGCGTGTCAAGGCTGGTTAAGTTGAGATAAAGATAACCCCTCATGTTGACAGCACGCATTAGCACTGCGTCAATAATAAACGTGTGTTTTGTATGTGTCATTACCCTTGATAAAGAAGAATGCTGACGCTGTCCCTTACAAAACTCACGTTTAGTACACACGCAGTGTTATGCCTTTACCATGAGGCTAGTGATATGTCGTTAGCGATTTCGTAAATAGTTCACAATTTTGTGTTGCACACTGTACAACGCCCTTAGAGGGTACAAGAAGCTTTTCGTAGCAGTAAAGCTCCTTGTGAAAAAGTTCGTCCAAGGCAGTACTGCCGCCTTACCTGTATCTTCTGGCAAGCAGTATTTTTTATAACATCGTCCATAACAGTTGCAGTGCCACTCAGAGCTTTAATCGCAAAGATCTGAGAGGCACTGCCACTGCGCCCGTCACCCTGAGACATAAGTTGACAAATCCCATGTGCTTGTAATTTCACCAGCACCCTTACCCTTCAAAACCGACACACAGTAATGCTGACATTACTGCTTGGCGGCAGAAATAGATAAGGTGACAGTAGTTCCCTGGACGAACTCTTACACAAGGAGCTCTACTGCTACTAAAGTAAGTATATGGTAAAATAAACATAGTTAAAAAATAAGTGCTCTGGGGAGCCTTCCCCTAATCCACATTCAATGAGGGAGTACCCGTGAACTTTGATTTTAGCTGGAAAAACAGGTGAAGAAACGTGACCTAATCTAAACGTCTTCAATTTTTAACAGGTGTCGCCGTCATATGTCGAAAAATATTCAGAAAATTATTTCAAAAATACGGGAAGCCCTGGAAAGTACGGGATGATTGACAACTCTAATGAGTACCCCTAAGCGCCAATTTACATTGTACTTGATAAAAACGACCACCGCTTGCAATAACGTGACCTTATCAAGTAAACACGTGAAGATGTATCCAGTTCATTGTAATTTGAACCTTTGTTGCACTTTTGCTTAATTGATTTATAAATTATAGGTTTTACGTGAGAATGATTGATGTAAACATGAATGTTAATCGTGCAATACTAGTGTATCTGACTTGAAAATGTTTATTGTTTTAATTAACTCGCATAAATATGCGGAAAATGAATCTCACATTTGTTTTTTTATACCTCAACTACACAATAAGGTGTTTTTGTTTGTTTATGCGTATTTAAAATGCCTCTGCCGATTGCAGAACCCGCCAACTATGAAATACGCGCTATGATTTGTTTTATTAGTTAGAGGTGTGAAAGCGATTAAAATTCATCATCAGATCTGACGATGACGGACAAAACATTATGAGCAATGGAATGGTACCGAAATGAGTTAGACCTGTGTTAAAGATGGCTGCAGGAATGTTCATGACGAGGAACGAAATGGGCGATATAAAAGTACAGACTTGCATGTAATATAATATCGTGAGCTTACCGATGTTAGTACTGCTAGACTAGTTTACTTTAGTTACTTCCATAGTATAATGTCCTACGGGATTCTCATGTGGGGTAAAGCGGCAGATATTTAAACCATATTTGTATTGCAAAAACGAGCGATTCGTTCTGTGTACCGTCTAGTCTCTCGGGTATCTCTCAGAGAAAAGTTTAAGGAGACTGGTATCATGACTGTGGCATCACAGTACATTTACTCAAATATTTTATATGCCCGTAAAAATTTACATAATTTCAATAAGAAAGAAGATATCCATAATATTAACCTTAGAGCTAAGTCCAAACTCATGGTACCACTATTTCTTTTAACCAAGGTAAACAACTCTTTTATGGGGAACTGTATACGTTTTTACAATAAGATTCCGGAGCATATATTAAGTTTATCATTTCCTAAGTTTAAAAACTACATTAAAAATATTTTGATCGAAAAATCATACCTATTACAAAATTGGATGTATGGAAAGACGACATGGCTCCAGAATCCACACAAACTTGATTCAAAGTGTATTCCATAGCATTTAAGTTTATTTGAAAAGAGCAATCCCTAGAGTTTCTTGCTCGTTCTTCTCGGGGAGGTCAGCGTAGTGAACGAGCAGTAGCTTAAATGTGACGTTTTCAAGTGTAAATTTATTTTACCTATGGAATAAATAATCTTTGACTTTGACTTTGACTTTGAATAATAAAATAAGAAAATAAAAAAAGCGGTACGAATACATGACTGCTTTTTTTTTCAAAACGGTACTTATTTAACACACACGCCTTATATATGTTAATGGATGAAGTCAATGATGGCGAATGTTGCGTCCCTTTACAGCAAAATTATAATAATATATTATATAAAATTATTATGGTAAAATATTTTATTTACATTAAATTGTATGGTTGTACAATTTGATATACTAAATTGTAAAATATTACGCGGTCGCTTTCGACAACTGTTACTTGAAACTCGAGATAAAAGCACAGATATCTGAAGGTCTATAAAATCTTTAATCATCGAATTTAAATATGATTAATTCATACGTTTCTCTTAGTGTCCTCAGACGAGCGAAATTTTGTGAGTTGTGAGTTGGGTTATTTTTTGCGCTCGACCGAAATTCAGTTGGAGCGCCAGACGAACGTATTTTATTCAGTTGCTTTCAAAAGTTTATACGGGGTGTTTGTGTCGTAATAGTGTAACGGATCCAATAAAAATAGTACGCATTTAAGAAGCATTAGAAGACGATGTTCGAAAAAGAAAAGAAGCTGGGTACATCCACTCAATACGAAACGATTAAAGTGTGGGCAGTTTCATATATTGTATATACAAGTTCATGTGTACATCCAGATAAATTTGTTAAGTACTACCACCACATGCCAATAATTATTTTTAAAGAATTATGTTCAACCTCGGCGATAAATTTTTCCGTATCGAACATTTTCGCAAGAAACGTCTAGATTCACGCGCATCCTATATCAAAGTGACCCCTTCCCTCACCCCTAACTCCACCCGTGCCAGCTCGTTGCACGACGCGACCTAAGAAAGTCAGTCGTCATTACGCACGTGAGTCGGCAGATAACTCATTTTGCGTTGTCGTGTGAAACAAACCGTACTTTGATATGAAACCGAATGCAGCGCAAACTGCGCAACTCAAAAAACGCAACTCATAACTTACAAAATTACGCTCGTCTGGCCTCACACATAAGTGGCGATACGGCAAAAATCATTCCGTAGCTCCATTATGGCGAATTTGGCGAAATCACTGGTTCGAGTCCAGCCATCATCGTATACAGTCTGACTTCACCCACTGCTAGGTATAGGCCTCCAAATTTCTGTGCCACGCCCTAAGGTCCCATGCTAATATCATTCAGGTTCGCGCCGGGTCAAAGGGATTTTCCTTTGTGTTTCTTCTATGTTTGTAGCAATATTAACAACAGACTAGTGTAGTATTTTTCACAAAAAAAATTAATGAATATCATGGCGTAAAAAGTCACAAAATAAACATCGTATTTTTTCTGAGTGTTCGATCTTTGTATTAATAATTATAACAAACTA